CCCCCCCCCCCCAAGGCCTCAAATGTATATTTTGTGTGTGGAGAATGGAGATGGTCTGTTTTGGCATCATACAATCCATGCACCACCTTTATAGACGAGATATCCCATGTACATGATATGTGGTGTAACACAGCTTTTATTTTGCTTCTTAAACATCACTGTTTTGCACCAAATTATTTTATGGTTGTAGGATTCAACTGGGTTGTTGCTGTTGTTGTATTTTATGGTTGTAGGTGTGTAGGCGGAAAGGTGATGCTTTTATGCAAGCTGCAATCATGGTTCTTATGATTTCTGTTAAGGTAAATATTGAATAATAGCCAACTACTTAATGATGATTTACTATCGATGTTCATTTCATTTGAATATGTGATATAGGGTCCAATTACTGGTAATTGCTTCTTTCTTGCACTTTATTTTATCAACATTCAACTTTATGGCCCAATATAGCTTGGTTAAAAAGTTATGTATGGGTTAGACTCTTATCTTAGCAATACCAAATTAATGCTACATGTTATATTAATTGCGTTTGTGATCCATTGGTTGTGCTCTAAGTGTTGGACACTATGTCTAAGTGTTTTTTGTAAACATGATTGTAGTGTGCATTAGTACTTTCTTCAAATGTAGGCCATTAGGGCACTTGATACATTTCTATTAAATACCTTTTTATTTAATAATCCCTCCATCCCACCACTTTCTCCCCTTTTACCTTTTCATCCATTTCACTATCATTGTCCCATACCATATTTGGTAATATTTGTGCGGCTCACACCACTCTAGCAGATTTTTTTTGGTAATATTTGTGCGGCTCACACCACTCTATCTTAGGTTTGCATACACACCACTCTAGCAGATTTTATTGGTGTGTTGAAATTAAATTTAAAAAAATAGTCTTGATTTTTTTTACTAATATTTATTAAAAGGGTTGTAGTTTTGATTTTAGGAATTAATTTACGTGCATCACAAGTTTTGGAGTTTCGTTGAGAAAGAAGTGGATCATTATCTTCGTGGAAGGTCCCTAACACTAAATTTAATTCTGTTTTGAAGTTGCTGATTTATAGGACTGATAGGTCCACTATAGGTCAGTCAGTTGTCATCCCGAAAAGAGGTGTGGTGTTATTTTATTGATCATTCAGTTGTAACCAGAGTTTATAAATAGTTGGGTCGGATATCTCCAGTACTTTCAATCATAGAAATATACAGATTATTAGTTTCAATCAAAGATTCTTCGTTGTTGGCTTCTAGAGTTTATTTAAGGGAGATCATTTCTTGAGTAGTTAAGTATGGTTATCCTATTATTTTTCATTATTTGATTTCTTAAATTGAGAACCTAACAATGTGGAATTAATCTATGATGAATTGATGATGACAGTTTTAGAATTTTCATCATGAGTTCTTTTTACAAAGGTTGGACTGGGAGGAAATCTGGCATATAGTATAGCCACTATTTTTTGCATTAATTTGTAGTATTAAACAATTTTATACAATTAAATAGCACTGTAAATTTAATGCAATGGACTCTAACAAGTTGGGATCAAGGTGATGGTGAATGATAAATTGCTAGATTACCATTCACCAGGGCAAGCAGAGTTGTGAAGTAGCTACGTGTCTGGACTAATCTTCTCTGCACAAAAGTTGGACGTGGTGCAACGCTTATAAAAACAAAAGTTGACATAAAAAGGAATGACTCATCTTCTATGCAAGGCGAATTACTATACTGATTTAGGGCCCATTTTTTCAACTTAATATTCTAGTTATTCATTCTCTAGTCTATACTATTGACTCTAGTTTTTAGTTTCTAGACTCCAAGCTCCAGTTTCCAGACTCCAATCTCCAGACTTCAGTCTTTTAAGTTTTAGTTAAAATTACTATCACATTCAGACCTCAAAATCTACTTTCCAGACTACAGACTCCATGTTTTAGTTTCTAGACTTCGAACTCTAGTTACTGGGCTCAAGACTTAAGTTAGAGTTAAAATTAAGATGGAAAGGAAAAGCCCTTAGGGCACATGAACAACCTAATGCATACTCCCTCCGTCCCTAAAAGATGTTCGTGTTTCATTTTTTGCGCATCCCATAAAACACTTCTAACTCATCTCAAATGTCTATAATACCTCCAAAACAGCTTCTACCCGCAATAAAGGAGAATTTAATTGAATGTTAGACATAAATGTGGGTAGAAGTGTTTTATGGGATGCACAACAAATGAAACAAAAAACAACTTTTTGGGACGGAGGAAGTATAACATTGTTGGTCAGTTGATGTGTTTCATTAGTGATGAGATTATCCTAATGCCATATTAAAGATTTAAAGTAAAGAAACACATAAAATTTTATGGTTTGCTCATAAGTGAAAATTAGCGCCATCTAGTATGCTCACCCTGTCTCATAGCTTAGTTTCATGTTTGACTTGGCACCTTTTTTGATAAGGTTGAAATTTTGTAGATAAAATATGTTTGAAGGAAAGATAAACAATATGGACCATACAATCTTATACTTAAAAGGGAAGTGGAACGAAGCTTTCGATGTCCTAAATAGGAAAGAATTAACAAATATATGTGAAAAGTAGACACTAATTTAGTTACGTGTCTGTGTGTGTGTATTCATATCAGGTCTTTTGATTGTTCAGGAAGGTTTAGTGATCCATCACTATATTACTTGTAAGTTTTAAGCTAATTAAAAGCATCTGAACTGTTAGGAACAATCCAATTGTGGATTACTAAGCCCAACCCAAGCAATCTAGACTGCCAGAAATATTTCCTTACATAGTACATACACACATGTATGTACTATGTATATAGTACGGAGTATAAATTTGTGAAAAATTTAGCTAGGGAAAGTCAATTCTAAGTTGAGCTTTCTTTAGGTTTTCTATAACAGCTTATCTGACTTCATTGTCCATTTTTTAACTTATAGAGTGCTTGTCAGAGTGGGTGGTTTTCTGAAAAAGACTCTGAAGATCTATGCAATCTTGCAAATGAGGTTCTCTCTTGTTTCTTCTTTTGCATCGATCTCTGTTTCAATGCTTCATAGCATACCGGTTTCACC